CCCCGGGCCCGGCCCCCGGCCCGCCCGCTCACCCCGCGGGGGAGGAGCGGGAGAAGCGGCGGCGCCGTGCGGGGCCCGGCAAGGACGCGGCAAGGGCGGCCATGGGCAGCTCCAAACCGCTGTCCCGCTTCTGGGAGTGGGGTAGGAACATCGTGTGCGTGGGGCGAAACTACGCGGAGCACGCCAAGGAGATGGGCAGCGCCCTGCCCGCCGAGCCGCTCTTCTTCCTCAAGCCCTCCTCGGCCTACGTGCGGGAGGGGTCCCCCATCCTGCGGCCCTACTACTGCCGGAACCTGCACCACGAGGTGGAGCTGGGGGTGGTCATCGGCCGGAGGGCGCAGGCCGTGCCGCTGGACGCGGCCATGGAGCACGTGGCGGGCTATGCCCTGTGCCTGGACATGACGGCCCGCGACACGCAGGAGGAGTGCAAGAAGAAGGGGCTGCCCTGGACCTTGGCCAAAGGGTTCGGCTCGTCCTGCCCCGTCAGTGACTTCGTGCCCAAGGAGAAGATCCCGGACCCGCACAAGCTGCAGATCTGGCTGAAGGTGAACGGGAAGCTGAGGCAGGAGGGGGACACCTCCTCCATGATCTTCTCCATCCCTTACCTGATCAGCTACATCAGCCATGTATTCACCTTGGAAGAAGGGGACTTGATTCTCACGGGGTCTCCCAAAGGAGTGGGGTCCGTGGAGGCCAACGATGAGATCGAGGCGGGGATCAGGGATGTGGTGTCCGTGAGGTTCAAGGTGGCACAGGGCACGGAACCCAGGAACCCAAAAGGCGTTTGACTGCCACAGCCCCGTTTCCATGGAGGCTGCAGCACACCTGGAGTCCAGCCCAGCAGCTCCAGATTCCAGAATTTAATTCCAAAACCATACCTGGGAACTGGCAACAGAGACATTGGAGAGGGGAATGGGTTGGCTGTCCTTCTGTGTGTGCTTCTCTTCTGCTGTTGCTTTGAGTATAGCCTTAAAATAAAAATTACTGATCAAAACAATTCAAATGATGATGTAGGAGCTAAGGCTCAGCCATGCTGTGGAGAATCAAAGGTTTATGTGTAGATGTGGAACCCTAAATCAAGAACTGCAGCTTCACAAAGAGTTTCCTCTACAAGAGAAAGATGTTTGATTTTTTGGATTAGTTTTGTGATTCCTCCCTGCTTTTTTCAAACACACAAATTAAAGAAGGATGGCTTTTCTTCCCACTCCAGGGGGCAGAGGCACCAGGAAGTGTGCCAGATGTTTGGCAGATCTGTTTTTTTCCTAAACTGAGCTTGAAATATGTTCTAAAAGTGAAATAATGCAAAATGATCAAGAATAAAGAAGCATATGGGTAAAGATCACCACCAAACTTTCCTTTTGACTGATTTCAATGTATTTTTAGTAAAACTGTAACTGCAGCAGTTGCTGTTACCCAGTGCAGTGCAGCAGTTGGAGTTTTAAGTGTTTCCAGCTGCTAAAAGCCACACTGGGTAACTTTCCCCAGTTCCCAGCTGCAGCTGTTCCAGCACTCCCCACCGGTTTGCATGACAGCGAGTTCTCTTTCAATTCAACAGAGCAAGTTGTAAAATGTAATTTAAAAAATCCTCCCCATGCAAACATCAAAACCTAGATTTTTCAAAGGTTGCACAGAACTGGTTCATTTCTAACAAAAACAGATGGATTTTGGTTTTTGTTTTACATAAATGCAAAGCACCAAAGCTAAACGCTTCCATTTGTCAGAGCCAGATCTTAAAAACTGCTAGGAAAAGCTTTGGTTTTAAAAGTGGGGAGTTCTGCAGAGAAAAATCCTGTCTCCCAAAGAGAAGCAGCTCTGTGAGAGCAGCACAGTCCAGGGTGCTGCACACCACAATGGGAGAAGAAATTGAAGAATTCCTTTAGAATTTCTCCAGAATTAAAACAGCCATGAGGGTGAAGAGTTCTGGAAGAGGAAGGATGGAATTAAGTGTCTGTACTGTTTGCATTTCCTCCTGCCTGTCAAACATTCCCATCTCTGGCAACAGCAGCAGGGCATCATTTACAGTTTGGTCTCCAGCCCTGGGTATTGACAGAGTTGGGATTAAGTTATTGGAAACATTCCCTTCAGAATGGGAATTGTTATGGCTGGGAAATGTTGAATTGTTTATTGCTACAAGAGGGATGACCCAACGCTGGCAGCATTTTTGGGGTCTTTATTGCCACCCTTGAGTCAGGGATGCAATCTGGGATTGCTTGTCAGGATTTCCTGTTTCTGTGGGGGTTTTCTCTGTGCCATGTTGTTTTAAGGGGTGAGGAGGCACCGGGGGGATCAGAGTTCCCCAGAGTGTCCTGGCTAAAACCCTTTGCCAGAACAGGGCTGGGGGATCTCTCTCTGTTGGAAACAGCTGAGTCCCAGCGTGCTCAGGAGGTGAGGATGGGACAAATACACCAGCAGGAGGGAAGCTGTGGACAGAAACATATTAAAAACAGGGAACAAAATACGTGGAGGAAGGCACAATATACATACCTGGGTTCTTTAAATCCAGCTTTGGTGAGCAGAGTCCTGCTTACAGCCTCAGCTTGATTTTTGCTTGTCAGAGGTCACTGCTAATTGATTACTCTGCTCTAATTAGACTTAGTCTGCCCAAAGAGAATCAGCCCTGCTCTTGCCCACAGCTCCATGTTTGGCCTCAGCAAGGTGCAGCACAAACCCTGGCAGTGTTTCAAGGGGGGGGGTCTTTATTTCTTTAACACAAAAGCAGCAAAGCAGTTAAAACCACAGAAGTTCAACAAATCTCATTTAACCTATTTGTTATTTCTGATTTTTTCAAATAGCTGAGTGAGGAAATCTTCCAGCACTCTTAAAAGGGGTTGAATTTGGTAGAATTAACATTTAAGCTTAGGCCCAAGTACACTTTTTAAAGTACAATCACCCAAAAATATGAACTCAGAAGCCCACTTAGAGGTATTGTAACATGCACCTCCCTCCTTTACCATCAGAACAGACTTGGCAAAACCCAACAACAGCAGAATTCCATCTCTAACAACAGAGTGAAGGAAGCCTTTCCTGGCATTTATAAATAATTCCAGTCTCTTCCCAAGAAGCTCTGACTGGCCTCTATGGGATCTGCCAGTTTGCAGGAAAGAAGATTCACTTTTAGTCCAGTTCTCCAATTAGGTGATGAAGTAACCTGGAAAAATAATTAAGGATCTTTGTTATCACAGCACCTTGACAGAGATTATTTTCAGCTGTTACCCAGCATATTTGACAGATTTATTTGCATTATTTCCTGTGTGAGTACACAGTTATGCCATCTGCCTGTCACTGCTGAAGTCAAACACTTTCATTTTGTCCTGGAAATAGGGACAGAGAAAGGGGAGATGGGACAGTAAGAAGAGTTTTGCCCCAAAGGACAAGTTTAAAAGTGAAAAACAGCTCCTGTTTTGAATGAAACATTAAATACTAACCTTGAAGTAAATCTTGCTTCGTTCCAAGAGGAGTTGCCATTTCAGTGCAGTCTTCTGCTCTTCTTCCAGCATGAGGAATTCAGGGACCTGTTAACAGGACACCACAGAGCACTTCAGCAGGTAGCTAAAACATCTCCACAAAGAATGATGATGAAAAGAACATCTTACAAATTTTTATACATTTCTAGGCTGTATTTTTCTGTTTTAACATAGTGCTTGGTATGAGATGTGTACCAAGACAGTCACACTAACCAGATAAACTGCAGGGTGTTTGGAAATCAGAGGTAGGGATTTCCAGCCATGTTCTCAGAAAAGCAGTGCTCTGAACTGGGTTCAGTCTTACACTGAACACAATTCTTGTTGGCATCTGCTGACTTCCAACTTCTGCCAAGCTCTGTGTGTCCATCCATCATCCATCCATCCATCCATCCATCACCATGATATTTTTATGAAAATCCTTTGCTAGGATTTTTCTCCTGTTCTAGCTGAGAAGCCTCAGAAAAGAAATGTAAACAATTAACTATCTGATGGCTGTGGAATGTGGTCTGGACATTGTTTACCAACAGGTGCATCTTCCATTGGCCCATGTGGATTGTTTTCATTTGATGACCAGTCACAGCCACCTGTATCGAGGCTGTGAGCAGTCACAAGATTTTGGTTATTCATTCCTTTCTTTTCCTTTCCAGCCTTTTGAAGGATCCTTTTATTTCTATTCTTTTTAGTATAGTTTTAGCACAGCATTTTAGTATAATATAATAAATCAGCCTTCTGAAACATGGAGTCAAGATTCTCATCTCTTCCCTCATCCTGGGACCCTCGAACACAACCATATCCATCCATGCCATTTTTGTCACTCTTGCACCCAACACACACACAGAACATTTTCAGGTGTTTGTAACTCTCAGCAGGCTGCACAGCTGAGCTCAGCAGGAGCAGCCCAAGCCCCCCTTACTGTGCAGCCCAGGGTGTCCTCAGCGACACAGTCAGCCAGGTAGCAGGAGCGCAGGGTGCCTGTGTGGTCTGTCACATCCACCAGGATGTCAAAGCTGGCAAAGGTGGACTTGGCCTCTGGAGAGACGTCACTGCAGAAGGTGCAGGTGTTTGACGCCTCATTCACGATGAACCTGCAGACTGAGCTGAAACACAAGCAGAGAATTCATGCAGATATGCAATTTGTTCTTCCTGAAACATTTTTCTAGACTGAGATTTCCCAAGAGACTTTGTCTTTAAAAAAATTGTTCATCTCCTGAACTCTTGAGTCCATCTGAGACAAAGTGACCTTTTCTTTTTCACTCCAGGAGCACAAAGAGCCCTCAACAAAACCCCACATGGCATCCTCCAGAAGAGTTTTATTTCTTCTCTGGGATGGGACTAAAATATTGCTCCATGTCATTTGGTCTGGGTAAGAGGGACAAGCAGTTTTAGCACGTTCCAAGCAGGCAGTTGCTCACCATCTGTTGCGCAGGACTCTGGACACGCTCTCGTCGATGTCCAGGGTGGAAATGTAGCCATAAATAATTCCATGGAGAGGCTCCAGCTTCCCATCACTCTGGAGAGCTTTTTCTTTCAGCTGTTCCACTGTGTAGACATCCACTACAGCCTCCACTACAAGTTTAAAAGGCAAGTTAAGTGTGTCTGAGCCAGAAATTATTCGAAGAGCAATGGCAAAAGTGGATCTTAAGGCAATAAAAACGAGATTTAAAGCAGCAGTAAAGCCCCCCTCCAAAAAAAAAAAAAAAAAAAAGTAAAACAAAGGGACTCAGATCAGGAATATATCTATTATTTCATCTTTGTATCCTCCAAAATGAGTTTTTGACAAAAGTTTTCCCCCTCACTTCTCCAAACTGGTTGCAGACAGAAGGAACACACCAGACAGGCTGCAGCTGGCACAGTCAGCTGAAGATACCCAAAGATAAAATAAGGGACAGCCCCAGGAAACCATCCAAACTTCACCCACTCAGCCAGGCTGGACCTGAGTTTTGTTTCTGTGAACACACAGAGCAGGAATTCTTGCAGCTGCACTGTGAAATGACACTGTGCAGGTAAATAAAATCAAACACTTACAGTTAATGGTTTCATTTGGCAGCTCCTTCACGGGGCTGGGCAGAGCTCCTGCCTGGGCACTCTCTTTGATGAAGCTGAAGAGAACATTTGCTTCTGCTGTTTCTGAAGAACAGTAAAGTTATCAGTATATGTTGCATGTAAAAGTCACTGCATTTTTATATTTCACAAGTTTTTATTCTGGTAGTACAAACACGTTGGAATTAGCCAAGATTTACTTTTCTCTTTTTTATTTTAACTGTTAATCCTGCATGGAATAAACATATGAAGGTTGCTAACAATAAAATAAAATAAAATAAAATAAAATAATAAAATAATAAAATAAAATAAAATGTAGAAGCCAAAGGCACTGGTCATCACATAGCAGACAAAAAGCAGGGAGCTTTGTGAGAAGCAGGCAGAAGAAATCACAGTTCCAATAGATTAATTAATGCATTCTAGCCTAGAATAATTATTAAAGGCAAAGAAATACTTGAGCAGCTCTTACCTGGGTTCGTTGTAATGATGGTTTTGGATATCACAGTTGCAGTCATGCAGTTCCTAAATTTGTCAAAATTGATTCTCACATCTGATGCAAATATAACTGTGCAGAAAAACACCCCCGTGTTACTGGAGAATAAATGCCACATGATGAACTTGAATAAAACCATAAACCAGACTGGTTTACCTGTTTCTTGGGGGATCCAACTCTGTGCCAGCTGGATGGATTCATTATCCCAGCTAAATTAAACAAAACATTTTTGAAACAGCACCCAAAGTGTTTAGTACTAAACTAGTAAACAACATGGTTGTAATAAAATTGGCCAAAGGGGACAGGACTCCTTTGTGACACATGTGGCACTGAAATTCCTTGTGCCTGCTTTATCCCAAACAGGATAACATAAAGATGGGCCTAAATGCAGAATATACCTGGGAAAACGCTGTGTTTCAGCTTTTATCCAAGTCATTTCTAGCTAAGCAAATTCCAGTTCAAGGAGCTGTTTGTGCTGGGCCAGGCTGATTGCTCAGATCCCCAGGCCAGATGTTCAACACTGGATCTTTGTGGCTGGGGATGATGAGACTGGAGTGAGGTCAGAAACATCCCTCAAAAATGGTAATTTCATGGTCTCTTGATAAAATCTCATTCAGCTCCTCCTAAATTTGACTGGCAAGAGCACAGCCAAAGCACAGATTTGTTCTGGTGGGTTTTCTCCTTAATCCTTGGAAAAAGATTTAAGATATTTCCTTTTCATCTGATATTTCCCAGGCACCTCTTCCCTGCTGGGCTCTAAAATCCCCTGACAGTGCCCAAGTCCCAGCACTGAGAGAGCTGATGGAGGAGTTAATTTCCAAATTAACCCTGGGCTGGAAGGGTTCATCCCAGAGCTGCTTCTCTTGGTTTTGTGGCTGTGAGTTGTGTTAAACATCCCTGGAGGTAACACAGCTCCCAGCCCACAGTGCAGGGCTGGCTGCCTGCTTCCCCTGAGGGAACAAAGGTCACTGAAGTAATTTTTAATCACCAAACAGCAACCCCAGGGCAAGGGAACACCCACACCCCCACATGCCCCTGCACTTGGAAAAGCCACAAGTTTATTGAACAAACTCGGGGCAAAATGCAAAGGTTCCCCTGTGAACAAGGTGCTGTTCACAGCAGGGATGGGCTGGGTGGAGTTGTGTTTGTAACCAGGACAGAGATTGAAAATACAGCCAGAGTCGCATCAAAATGTTTCTGCATTATTTTAAATATTTAAAAACTATTTTAACCTATTTCCACTCCACTTGCAATTCTGCTTGGTTTTAAAAATGGATCATGCTCTTCACTTTCCTGCCCTGCTGCTTGTGGAAGAGACACAACAGCCTTTGCAGCTGGTTTTAAAAGTCATTTCCTGAATTAGCTCAAATGTCCACATAAAAAAAAAAAGAAATTATTTGGAACTGAGCTTCATTTTGCCATCCATGAGCCAGCAGGCTGTCAGCAAGCCATAAAACTACACAAGATATATAAGACCACTCTAATGAATCTCTTCTTAAAGTCTCTTTTCAGTGTACATTGCTGCCTCATCTCAATTGCCTCCTAAATAACAATATATTTAAATTAAAAGATGGGTTTATAGTTAATTAGTGTGTGTTATAGCTAATTTCTTTACCCATGTTTGCATTATTTTTTAGTGAATTAAAGAACATTTAAAGAATTAAAGAACATTTTACCATACTATTGGGAAAGACCTCTCTGTTTCATCGTACAGCTTTACTTCACACCTCTGGCCTTTCCTTTTGTCTGAAGTTATAAAATACTTTGGCTCCCCAACCTTGAAGAAGAAAAAGAAGTCACTTGTCCTCTATTCAGTGTTTAGGAGAATAAAATTCATAACCTAGAAAAGGTTAGAAAAGGGAAGGAAGATACTGTAGACTACTAAAAATGGGATCACTTAATTTCCCCTTCATTTTGTTGATAAAAAATCTCATCAAAGGGTGTGTGTGGTTATTGTCACTCAGCTGCCAAGCAGAACAAATGCAGTCCTGGCCACTGTGAGGCTCAAAATCCAAATTGACACAGATTTACAATGAAGTTACTCGTGGCAGGGCACAGAAATGCTCCTCACTCACTGCCATCACAGCCCAAAATCCACATTTTTACACAGATTTACAATGAAGTTACTCATGGCAGGGCACAGAAATGCTCCTCACTCACTGCCACCACAGCCCAAAATCCACACTGACACAGATTTACAATGAAGTTACTCGTGGCAGGGCACAGAAATGCTCCTCACTCACTGCCATCACAGCTGCCAGCACATTGAGGACTCTCCCATGGAGGCTTTGTCCATTTGCCACGATGTCCCCCAGGGAATAATAATCCTGAGGGTCCTTGACAGGCAGGTGCAGCAGAGCCAGGAGCCTGGTGTCTGTGTCGTAGCAGGAAGAGGTTTTAACCACAGAGTGATTTTCACTGAGCAATAATTTGTAGCCACTAGAACAGAACAAATCCCATGGATCAGCACTGCACTCACTGAGGTATCAACAGTGTAAGATGTTCATTCATATGAAAAAACAACTTTATTCCATTATAGTTTTTCCTAAAGGTACAAAAAATTCTTGTAGATTTTACACAAATAATGAAATTTACTCTGTTTAGCAACAAAGAACATTATTGCTTTATGACCTTCTATTATTATTAAATATATTCTCCTTTGAGATTTGACCAGACATTGTTGAGCACAGGAGGAAGGTACAGCTACACAGGAAGAAAACACCAAAAATTTCTACCAATTTACTGTGACTGGAAATTAAAGCAAGTCTTAACTTTGATCTTTCTAGAAAGAACTACCACTCCATGCTTTAAATTTACCTAGGAGTGACAGGGTTGAATTTTTCTTCTCTTTCTGCTTCCTTGGACTGAATTAAAGGATTTTCAATTGTAACTAAAACAAAGCATTGATAAGTGATGTTAGAAATTGATTATAGGTACAATTATAGATATTTTTGTGTGTACACTCTGTAAGCTCACAAGTTTTACCCAAACAACCCCAGGTAGCAAAATCTTTCTATGAACTTAAAAAGATAAAAGTGCATCCTGTAAATAAATACAGGATTTTTGTTGTGGTTTTATCAGCAATCATGGTCATATCTATAACTGAGGGAAGACAAAGAGCAAGCAGCTTTACAGCTTATTTTTCATCATGTTTAAGACCTCAATATAATGTAAAATTTGACATTGATTAACTGCAGGCCAGCTCTGAGCTGCTGCACTCAGTGGGTTCCTTTGTTGACATATTTACTGGGCTTCAGCTGAAATCCTTGGAATCTTGTTCCTTTCCTCTTTCTATTGAACAGAACTGAACAATTTGTTTCCAATTAGGCTGTTTGTGAGTCCTCGGAGCAAAACACAGCAAAGCCACCAGCACAATCCTGATTGCCATGCAAACAGAAACGTGGTGGGAATAAATAAATTTAAATAAACTCACCACAGTCACCAACCCTGAAGCTTTCTGAGAGGGATCTGATGTACTCTTCTCTGCCCCAGGACTGGACATTCATGAAATAAGTTGGGGAATCACGAATGGTAAAATTGAAGGTGTATCTTTCAGTGCCAATGTCTGCAAAAGTAAACAGGGCTGCAGCAATTCCTCAGCACAGCTTGATTTCTAACTAGAATATGTGTATAAAAACTACTATTTTGGGGTTTTCCTGGATTTTAGTGGGAATTTTCTCCCACTAGAGGCCAGCAGGTGGTGCAGGAACTCGGTGGTGTTTGGGAATGGGCTGCAGTTCCTGCTGTGATCAAACAGGGAGAGGTGCAGGAGGTGACAGCAGGGCTGTCACACGGGGAGGGCTCATTTGTACACACAGCCCCAGTTCTGCAGGAGCTGATGGCCCAGGCTGCAGGGTCACTGCCAGGGGGTCCAATTGAATAAAGCAAAGTGTTTCCAGTGCTATGGAAAATTCAGGATATTGGTGTCTGCATCCCTGCCCTGTCTCATACAGGGAACTAAAAAAGCTTTCCAGGATCACAGCATGATGCAGTAGATTACTAAATTATCCAGGAAAACTCGAGTGATCCCCCAGTGCCCTGAGTGCAGGCCCATGGAGCACACACACCAACACCCTGTCTGTGGGCTCTGCACTAGGCTGGCACCAGTTTCAGGTGACAACGATGACTTTCCCCTAAAACCTCTCCCCTCCAGGAGCTCAGCAGGAACCAGTGGCAGCAGAAAAACTGAGCCCTTCTCCTGGAGCTGGAATGGCTCTCCAGGCCTGGAGGTGCTTCCTGGCAGTGTCTGCACCAACCCCGACTGTAAATTTGTTGTTTCAATTTCCAATTAGCATTATTAACAACATACAATTCCCATTTTGTCCCAGATGAAGCTGCTGCTACTCAGGCCAGAAATTACTTGTGTCACTCCACAAGACATGTCCTCAACATTTCTGTTTTAAGAGAGAACAAATATGAAGGCACCAGCTCCATTCCAGCAGTATTTGTGGAAGAGTGGGTTCATATTGGTTCCATCTTCAGAGCATGAAACACTTCCATGACAGAGTTTTTCCAATTTCTAATTGATACGGCTCAGCCAAACCAATGCTGCTCTTTCATCTTGGTTCTCAAACAGACACCAATTTTTTTGGGGTGCATTTTTATTCTATCCATTTTATACTGAGAAATCTGTTTATCATTTAAATCTTGATTTCAGTCATCTCTGCCAAATTACACCGTTGAAGAAAATGAAGTAAAAAGAGTTTAAAGGGACTGTACTTTTTCGGTCTGGAAAGCTTCTGACATCTGTTTTCCCAATAACCACCCCGATTACATTCTGAAAAATAAAAAGATTATAGAGTACAAGTATTAAACCCAGATGTAGATGATGAATTAGATTTCATGGAATTATACTCTGCTGATGATAATAAACATATTTCTGGCTGGTAATCATTTTAATCTATTTATTCCACAGTACCGTATGAGCTAAAGAGTAAAACAAACACACAAGTTTACTTTAGGAAAAAATTGTGACTAATAAAAGTATTAAAATAAATGCGTCTGTTTCTGTTTGTGAAGAAAATGGGAGGACAAAAGATCACCCCAAACCTTCACAATTTTGGCTGTTCTACAGCAATCTCTCCTCAGGTAGGCAGCAATGTTGTTATTTCATGCTCTCTGCACAGGTCTCAGATCTCCTCAAATGCTCCATGGAAAGTCTGGATAGGATTTATTTTACAGTGAAGTGTCCAAGGTTTCCTGGCTCTCAGCCACAGTGTGCACCTACAGGAGCTTGTCCTGGCCTCAGCCAAGCAGCCTAAATTCCTACAGGTGCCTCTCTCTTGCTATCTTTCAACTGACTCCAAGGGAGCTGAGGCAAGGAGCTTTTCTGTTGATTCAGACCAAAATCAATCTTATTCTGCTTTGCTAAACCTGTGCCTATTATGTAAAAACATCCTGTTCTCAATTGTCAAACACAACTACTGGGAGCAAACACACACATGTAGATATAGATATCTATCTATCTATAATATAACAGCTGTGTGCTGGGTTCTTGCTGTGTTTCAGGTGGTCCTGGGTGTCAGACAAGAGTTTTGCAGTGTTGGTTTGGGATTTAAGAGGTCAGCAAGGAAAGTCAGAGTGGGATGAGGGCTGGAAGAACAGACTGACAGTGCAATACTGCCAGGATCCTTCAAAACATGCAGCATCCCACCTCAACTCCACTTCACGGAATCCTGGAATGGTTTGGGTTGGAGGGACCTTAAAGCCCACCCAGTGCCACCCCTGCCGTGGCAGGGACACCTCCCACTGTCCCAGGCTGCTCCAAGCCCTGTCCAGCCTGGCCTGGGACACTGCCAGGGATGTGGCAGCCACAGCTCCTTCACACGAGCCCTTCTGGCAGTCCCATTCCAGCAGAATTCCAGAGGCAGCTGGCAAGGGCAGGGCTGCAGTTCAATAACCAGCCAGGATTCCTCTTGTACATATTCCCAAAGCAGCGTGACCTGCCTGACTTCACTGCAGCCATATCGACAGGAGCTCAAAAAGCAGCTCTCCGGTTTCCTGGGGATCACTAGAGGGAGCACGGGACCTGCCTTATCCTGCAGGGATGGGCACACTCAGGAAGAGGCCACTTGTGTACAGCACTGTAACATCCCCCTTCCACACTGAATGCTTCATGTCCACTGCATGCAGCGATTCTGATTAGCATTTTGTTGTTCTATTTTGGGTTTTGTTCCTTAATTAAAAAAAAAAAAATCTATTAAATAAGAGTGCAGCATTCCCCTTATATCACCACCAAATGTCAAAAGAACTGACATTTAGGATGAGTGCCTGCAGAAACTAGGCTGATTGTGCCTAATTTCTGGTGTAAATATCCCATTTCCCAAAGAAGTCTGCCCTGGCCCTGCTATAAATGTGTTCACCTCTGTGTCTCCAACCCTGAGCTTGCACAGAGAGCTGGCAGAAGGAATTGATCTGGCTGGAAACTATTTTGGACTGAGGAAGGGAGAAAAACTTCCAGAGATCATTTCCTTGATCAGCTCATTGTGCAACTGCCCAAGCACTCATTTCCCAAAAGAGGAGGGGAACACCTCCCCATGGTGCCTGTTTTGGCAAAGCTCTGCTTGAGGCTGCTCAACCAACTCATGAACACGCTGCAAGTGTTTACACTTGAATCTCTTTCACTTTTTAAAATAAACAGCAAACTCATAAACCGTGCCATTTTGATACTTCAAACTGTGTGTTCAGCTGTTTTAACGGCCTAACACAACACACACTGATCATTCTATCATAAATTATTTTATAAAAATACTTTTGTTGCCGTGCATTGCTAACTGCAATACTCAAGATTAGTTTTATTTGTAAAAAAAAAAAAAAAGCTTTTATTTGTAAAATAAAGGCTTTTAACTGGGTTAGTGGATCATTATTTGGGAGGAACTGTGAATGACAGGCTAGATTAGCATTGCTGAAGATCAGTTTGGATCAATATGGCTCTAAGGAGATAGAAAACTGCTCTTAGATCATCCCTTTTCTGTGATTCCTCTTTCATTTGTTTAAAGTAAATGAGAAAATAAATTGTGCCATCCCAAATAAAAAGTGGTGGGAATGGGAAAACTCCATGTTTTCACTCTTTCCAGGAACATCAGGACTTCCTGGGGCAGGGGAGGGGGGATTCTGCCTCTACTCAGGTGAGACACCCTGGGGTCCCAGCACAGGAAGGACAAAGAGCTGTTGGGGTGAGTCCAGAAGAGGCTCCAGGACGATTGGAAAAGCTGAAAGAATTGGGATTGCTCATCCTGGAAAAGAGAAGTTTTGGGGTCACCTAATTGTGGCCTTCCAGGGGCTGAAGGAGCTGACAAGAACCATGAGAGAGACTCTTTACAAAGGATGAGTGACAGGACAAGGGGCAATGGCTCCAAAGAGAGAGTGGGCTTAGGATACTGGGGAGAAATCCTTCCCTGGCAGGGTGGGCAGGCCCTGGCACAGTGCCCAGAGCAGCTGTGGCTGCCCCTGGATCCCTGGCAGTGCCCAAAGCCAGACTGGGCTTGGAGCAGCCTGGCACAGTGGAAGGTGTCCCTGCCATGGCAGGGGTGGCACTGGGTGGGCTTTAGGCTCCTTTCCAACCCAAACCAACCTGTGATCCTATGCAAACCCGTTTTTTTACCCCAAAGAAACAGAACCAACCATGGAACTGTGAGATTTTTACCCTGCCTTCCCAGCGTGCCGTGAGAGACTGCTGAGGTCCCAGATGATTGTGGCTGCATAATGCTGACTCTGTCATGTCTTTAATAATGTCTTCACTAATTCAGCATCCATTTAAAGTGCTACAAAGGAGCCTCTGATACATGGAATTGCCCGGTCAATATCTGTGCCTGTGGTACCCACGGGCTGTGGACAACAACAGCATCAATTTTCATTTTGCTGCTTTGCACACAAAGAAGGGAAGGTCCTTTCTACCCAACAATTGCACTAATGCTATCAGTACCTAAATACACATCAATTACATAATTTTGCAGTAATATAAGACAGTCAGATACAATTTCATCTGGGAACAAAAGGCTGTGAGACTTACAGGACGAGCAAGGTTTGGATGCAGATCTGAAAGTGCAACAAAGTCCCGTGCTGAACGAGAATGAGCCATTCTTTATCTGAAACTGCAGGAAACTGACTTAGAGTTTGTAAAAATCCAAACAAATCACTTAAGGCCATTCACAGTGAGAATAACAAGTTATTTTTTAACGTAAATGTTTTGACCTAATGGCATCTGTTTTCAATAAGAGGCATTTCAAGCCATCTGAAGTAGACAATTCTTTGTTGTTTGGATTTGGCGATGGAAGTTATGAATTTTACTGTGACAGCTCTACCTAAGCTTCTCAAATAAAGGCCTGTAATTTTTATTTATTATTCATCATTAAATGGCTCCATTAGCACCAGGCTCTGAAAAATATTTACCCTCCTTCTCTCTGGGAAGCCCAACTGAATTAATGAGGCAGCTCATATTTAAAAGGCAATTTATATGTGAGGAAAGAGAAGTGTTGGGTTGCAAAGCACCTTTAATTGAGGTTTTGGACTAAATATTAAGCTACTTTAAAATGTGAGTTTATGCCCTTCTCAAAATAGAAAAGTTGTGAATTTATTAAAATAAAATTTGTAAAAACCATTTTTTTTCAGGCTGCCAACATGGCATTTACTGCCCAGCCCTGGGAGCACCCAGGTTCTCTCTAGAGATGCTGAAGTGGGGCCATGGGTGCTTTTTTAGCCCCTCTGAATGCCTCATTATTTCATGGGTTCCTCAGAGACATTTAGATACTTAACAAATGGTTGTCAGAATCTGGTTTTTGTTGTAAAAGGACCCATGGCATTGTCCAAATCTTAATAACCTTTAATAGGAGAGAACTGCTGACATTTTTCAGAGGATGCCTGTACAATCTTTAGAACAAAATCCTGAATGGCTTTCATAGTCTTTATACCTGGAACCTCATGTGAGAATTGTTAACCATTTCATCAGGCATTAGGATAAAGGTCTGTTGAACTAGAGAACAAATAAGCCTACATTTTAAAGAAAAATAAGCAGTTATCTGAGAACCAAGCAATTTTTCTAAAAGAGCATTTTAAACTATGCTCTCACAGAGAGACAGCCCAAATTTGCCTTACAGAAACCACTGAACAATGGGGCTCTCAAACCTGTTCCCATCCCATTAGGTGGAAGAATTTATGTTTCCTTCTGTAGGAAAATTACCTCAGCATCCCTCCAAGGCAGGGTAATATTCTCACCTCAGAAGAAGTTAAATATTGTTACCTGCTGTACCTCACACCAGCCAGGTCTTGTCAAAGGAACCAGCGCCGGAACACCTGTAGCAGAGGAAGATTAAAATGGCCATTTAGGATTTTAAAAGCTCTGGGTTCTGAGAGCTGGAGCAGAGCTGCCCCACTCAGGGACCCCTCAACCTCCTCAGGTGCTCCTCAACCCATCATGGACCTCCTCACACACACGCCATTCCCCTCAGGTGCCCCTCACTGACCCTTCAGCCCTTCACTGACCCTTCAACCCCTCAGGTGCCCTTCACTGACCCTTCAACCTCCTCCTGGACCCTTCAGCCCCTCACTGACCCTTCACTGACCCTTCAGTCTCCTCCTGGACTCTTTAGTTCTTCAAGTGCCCCTCACTGACCCTTCAGCCTCCTCCTGGACTCTTCAGCCCCTCACCGACCCTTCAGTCTCCTCCTGGACCCTTCAGCCCCTCAGGTGCCCCTCACTGACCCTTCAGACTCCTCCTGGACTCTTCAGGTGCCCCTCACTGACCCTTCAGCCCCTCACTGACCCTTCAACCTCCTCCTGGACTCTTCAGGTGCCCCTCACTGACCTTCAACCTCCTCCTGGACCCTTCAGCTCCTCATGTGCCCTCCTCACTGACCCTTCAGCTTCGTCCTGGACCCTTCAGCTCCTCATGTGCCCTCCTCACTGACCCTTCAGCCTCCTCCTGGACCCTTCAGCTCCTCATGTGCCCTCCTCACTGACCCTTCAGCCTCCTCCTGGACCCTTCAGCCCCTCAGGTGCCCCTGAAGCCCTCAGTTCCTGAAGGAGACAAGATGGCGCCGGCGCAGTGGCGGGAAAAGGGCTCCGCGCCCCCTCCTCCCTCAGGGCTGAGCGGAGACCTCCCATCCCGGCACGCTCAGCAGGATCTCCAGCAGGCCTGGAGTCGCTGCATTTGAGGAGGTAATAACAGGGTTGGACAGGATTTTGGGCTGGAATTGTACCCAGTGAGGGTGGGCAGGCCCTGGCACAGGGTGCCCAGAGCAGCTGGGGCTGCCGCAGGTCCCTGGCAGTGCCCAAGGCCGGGCTGGAGCACCCTGGGGTGATCCAAGGGTCCCTGCCCGTGGAGCTGGATGGTTTTTAAGGTCCCTTCCAACCCAAATAATCCTGTGACTCTGTGACTTACCAGATCAGGAATTTAAAATCAGGTTCATTCTACAAATATAAATGCACCAGCAAGACAAAGCAAGTGGCAGAAATCTCTTGACGAACCATTCCCTGCTTCCTTTTTTTTTTTTAATGTTGGCTATAAGGGAAAAAAAGTTGCAGCCTGTATTTTATAAATGAATCAAAATTTCTGGTTTAAAGATATTATTTGTATTGATTCACACCCAATAGTCCTATATTTTCAGGCTCTGAAGAAGGCTGGCTTGAGCCGTTTTCTCCATTTATATTGAATATAAAATTATATTTTATAAAATCAATACCATTCACTTCTGCGTCATAAAAAACTTTACTCCTGATGAGTAATTTTATAACCCCAAGGTCTTGGCTATTGGAAGTTTTCAGCATAGCCTGACTAATTCTCTGTGTTGACTCTGTATTACAGGATTTTTCATTTCTTCAATTAAACAGCTGAAAATGGATCCCACCTGTGCTGTTTTATTTATTGCGTCACAAAAATCCATGATAATTATCCCATGCTGATGACAAACAGGATGCCAGGGAACTGACAGCCTGCGTGGTTTTTTTTCCTTTTTAGGTCACCTTTTGTACTGTATGATCCATGGATCTAATTTTGTTTTGTAGGTTTGATGTCTCCACTAAACGGAACATGGCATTTTTTCCTGTCGGTTCTGTTGTTTTCATTATCTCAAGCTAATGAACAAGAAGAAGGTAATGAGCCTGGTGATAGGATCCTAATGGAATGGGAACGAGAACCTGGACACTGGCTGGGAAATGCTGGCAAAGGTACAAGGCTCATTCTTACAGCAATGCAAAACGGGGGAAAAACAATCCCTGAAATGAGACCTGTGGGGTGTCCACGGCTGCAGAAGGTGACAAACCAGCACCACAGCCCAGGGGCTCACAGGAGCTGAGCTGGTCCAGTATCTCAGCAAGGTTTTGGTGGGACACGAGCACCTGCTGCAGCGGAGCCTCACAGGGATCTTGTGCATGGGTAGGTCCCCACTTCCAGAGGGTTTTGTCCAGGTGGAGCTGCTTTTCTCCCACAGGCACAAAGGGCAGGTGAAACCCGACCTGCCATGTCCCCTCCAGGCCTTTGTTCCGTTTCAAAGCCACCAGAACAAGGGTGCTGTTGTGCCTCTCCTCGGCTTTGTGGGCTGCTTCCACTGCTATTTTCAATGTACATTTGGGGGGGAAAAAAAAAGAAGCTGCTTTTTACTTTCCCAGGATAGCTCCTGCTGGGAAGACGTTATCAGGGCCATCGTGACAGGAGGCACAAAGGCAGGGGACAAAGTGAGACCCGGTTCTTTCCCTCTGAGATGTCTGATTAGCTGCTGAATTTCTGCCTTGCAGATGCCGAGCCAAGGACTCGTTTGATGGGTGTACCTGTCTCAGGTGACACTGAGAACTCTGCCATTCACACAGCACATGGCACCTCAGGGACAGCCAGGGACTTCTGTGGTTACTGCAAACAAATAACACCTTTTTTGGTGTTTATACCCAGCAAATGTCTAACCTGCCTTTATCCCGCTGATTTACAATGCCAGCTGATTCTCCCAGTCAAGGAACTTTCAATACAAACACCGGAGGGCATCTGTAAAAACAAATGTTATTCAACTTGTATCCTGCTTTACTCAACCTTTCCTCCTCAGCTGACCTCAAAGTGGTCTCAAAAAGAAATCAGCATCGTTATCGCCCTTGCACAACTGGGAAAACAGAGGCCAGAGAAAGGCCAGAAGAGATTTCTTAAAATCCATGTGCCACACAGAACCAGCTCCTCTCTCCAGCACCAGTTCCCCGCGGGAGATCAGTGTTAATTCAGTGCTTTTCTGATCCAGTGCTTGATCCCTGAAAGCTCCAAGTGATTTGAACTCCCCGGCACTTCAGCGGCACTTAGCGCTCTGCCCATTCCGCCTGTGATGGGCAGAGCCTTCCCGTACACGGCTGCAAATTGCCCGGTCCCTGCTAATTAGGCCTTCATGAATAGATTTATTTAAATTACACTCATTGGCATGGCCGAGCAGTGCAAATGCCATTTCGTAATTCACTTTAGCAATTTGTTACGTGACCATCAGTACACTTTGTGTTCAGGGGAAGAAAGTCCAGCACTAGCAGGGACATTTCAGAAATCATTTCCAAACCCAGAGCAATATAAAAATATTTGCTCTGTTCATTTTCTGCTGCCCACAGCGTTTACTGAGAGGGCTCATTGAATATTTATACATCCTTAGGACCAAAGGAACTGGTAAAATGGAGAGGGCAGACATGTAATTTTATGTAATTGGCCTGACTGAATGCATTAAAAGCAGCAAATTATTAAAGGTGCTCAGTGTTCAGTGGTTTTGGCTGATACCTGAACTGGCAGAGCCTCGGGAGTGCTGATGGAGTGAGGATGGACATCTTCAGCAGCAGCAATGCAGGTGCTGATGCAGCCAACAGGTGCTCAGTGTGTGTTTAGGGACATTTATTCTAAATTTCTCCCAGATTTTGTTCAGCTCTCACTCCAGCCTGGTTCTCCCCCATCCTGGTCCCCAGCACTGGAACCATCTCTGTGCTGTTTCAGTGGGAGCACCACCACCACCACCACCTGCAGCATGGAAAAACACAACAATCCAGAGCCTTGTTGTAAAATTAACATGACCCGTGGCTGGTTCCCACCTCCGCTGGGTTAATTCTGCCTTCTTGGGGCCAGGGAGATGCCAA